TAAACAGAGGCGCGCACCAGAGTAGCCGATGCGATCATGCATTTTGCGCAGCCCTGTCCAGCAGATGTTTGCTGTTAAGAACGTTCTGTGGTTTACACATTGGTATGTGCAAAAATAGACGAAATTTGGTCTGGTTTCCATAATTTTCTATCAAAAATTTCACGTGTCGTTACGCAAAACATAAGCGTATATGAAAGATAAATTTAAATTAGGAGGATTATGTATGAATGAAAAGACACCTTTCGAAAATTTTGGCTACTTTGTCTGGCTCTGTAACCAAAAATTTCCACGAGGGATTTCACGTATTCACGCTTGGAAAGTAAGAAAAGCGAAAATTGTAGTTTCAAAATCAAGCACTACAGGAAGCTTCGTCCTAAATTTCCATCTCTCCATCGCGGATCCGAGGCAGAAAGGTCCCCGCCAGAACCTTCACGTTCACGTGTCTGCGTGTTAGCTGAAGTTAAATTTTTATATTCGTACATGAGCAGGGAACATCCTCCTAAAATTTCAACTTTGCTGATGGCCGAGTTAGTAAATTCCCCAACAAAACTAAAAAAAAAAAAAAAATAGTGAATTGATGTGGAATTTGTGCTTTAAAGGTCTCCCTGGGAAATGACGATAAAGATCGGGTAGAGAGAGGCAGCATTAATGAAAGCTGAAAGTGAGGATGAGGGAGAGGAGGAGAGAATAATGAGGGAAAAAGGGAATTTTTGCAACTTATCTGATATGATACTTTATAGAAGTTTAGGGATGATAGCGTTCGAGACAAGGTAGTGGTGCTCCACACATACACCACTAACATCTCGGAACATCTGGACCTTTCCAAAATAATTCTGTCGGAATAACTATTGGAGACGATAATCCCCTTCGGGAGATGGAAACGAATGCCATCTACCGTGCAGTGTAGCAGCGGTTAAAGCAACTGAGAAAGTTGCCAATTACATAGTGAAAAAAAATGTGGCAAATCGAACTGTTTGAAGTGACAGCTGTTTTTTTTTACTCACATTCACCAAAAAATCAGATTACAAGTAACATGCCGTCTGAGCGGTCTAAGTAAACACCCAGCGTTGCTAGTGTAATGCTCGAGTAACGCGCACTTCCCATCGGTGTCCATCCACCTATACAAATAACGACCGTTTCTGGTTGCAGTACTGTTGCTTAGACCACTGCTGCACCGCCTGGCGGTCAACCTTCTGCCAGCTCTAATGCTTGGTTCATTTTTCTCGCTGATTACTGGCTAAAGTCATTTTACTAAAAGTACAGTGAGAAGAGTATCGGCACGCTGAACTGCTTATCTGACCCATTCGCTTGAAATGCTATGGGTGTACGGAAGGTGTGAAATCGTAATCGATGGGGAAGCTGTCAACTAATAGGTTCCGATTCAGACTGCATATATATCGTAAATATGGTAGTTCGCATACTTAGATTAGCTCTAATTTGTAACAGCACGCTTGGAACTGTATAATTATGGTGGCATTGGACTTCATTGCTGGCATGTATACACAAACAGTGTCCTGGCAGGAGCGAGCCTGATTAGTTCACTAGTTTCATAAAGATAAATGGAGAAAAAGAGAAAGACGGGACGCGGAGGCCGAGTGGTAGAGGATGAAGATTGGGCGAAATTTAGAATTTTTAGCTCATACAGGAAAAAAGTTGGAAAATTCAGTCCAGAAATTAAAGAAAACTTTGCTAGGAAAAGTTGCTGTTTTTGGATTTCCTAGTCATTGGGGGGGGGGCGAGGGAAAGGAAGGGGGCGAGCATTCTAACCCCGCCCCACCCTGCTTCAAGAGGATATACTTCAAAAGAAGAAACCGAAAATTAAAACATTGTAAATACGATTTTTATGAGATTTTGAAAGTGAAGTAATATGTTGCAGGTGAACTTTACAATAGAGGAGATCCGTAGCATTATGGATCACAAGAAGAATATCCGCAACATGTCGGTGATTGCTCATGTCGACCACGGTACTGCAGTTTTTCTCCAACTGAATCTTCAAATTAATGCAGTTTCTTAGTTTTTACTTTTAGAAGCAATAGAATTAAGGTTTTCTAGAGCCTATCAGGAAGGATTTTCAAAATTTCTGTGCTAAAAACGATTTTTGTAATGTTAAAGGTAAATCAACACTTACCGACTCGTTGGTGTCGAAGGCGGGTATTATTGCTGGAGCAAAAGCTGGCGAGACACGTTTTACGGATACTCGCAAAGATGAACAGGAGCGCTGCATCACGATCAAGTCCACGTAAGTGCTGTTTGCCACTGGCGAAGAGTAGAAATAGTTCAGGAGAAGACAGACCCTGAGGAAATTTTCAAGAGAATTATTGTTCCACCCCACAGTATTGGCACTGAAGAATGAAAATGGATCCAGCTGGCTTATGACATGCTTGGTGGCCCTCATCATGCCTCTCAGTACTTTTTTCCTCCTCGAGGACTGTTAGAGTGAATCTGTTTTGATTTTTTTGCATGTTTTGCAATCCGTCTGATGCACACCACATTTTATGTGCATTTTTACAGAGCGATATCGCTGTTCTTTGAACTGGAGCCACGCGATCTTGCGTTCATCAAAGCCGACAATCAAGTTGAGATAATGAATGTTGGAGGCGAGCAGAAGAAGCTCCCTGGCTTCCTGATTAATTTGATTGATTCGCCCGGCCATGTGGACTTCTCAAGTGAAGTAAGCTCCTCTCGTATTTTATACTGAACCGGTATTTTACCTTACGGTGCCAAAAATTTTGACCGTCAGAGATTTTGCTCGATATATCGTTCTCTTTTAAAAAGTATCGGTAAATAAAGAGCTACTAGAACACGGGTCGGCTTGACTCGGTTCGGCTCGGCCCGTCTCACACACGAGCTACAAAAAATTTTTTTTCCTGAAGGCAGGTAGGATTGCCCCACGGCGGATGGCGGTAGTTTGAATGTGGTGCCAGCGCAAGTTAAATAGCAACGCGCACCAGACCAGCCGGTGCGGTCATGCGTTTTGAGCAATTCAGCCCATCGAACGATTGCCTATTAATGATTTTCACTGCTTTGTACTTTAGTCTAAGCAAAAATAGTTCAAACATTGGAAAGCAGTTAAAAATTTCACGCAGCAGCGCATGAAAGCTGAATTCGAAACCTAGAAGGGCGAATATCTTTATCCTGAGTTAGTAGTTTACCCGCCAAAATTTTCACGAAGCCATAGGTGATACTCAAAAGCGCAGGAACGCTGAGTTTGAATAGGCAAGGTTGAGCGTGGGCAGGGCATCATTACACTAAAATTTCAGCTCCCTAGACCCCGTGGTTCTTGAGATAATAATTTACCCGTAAAAACTTTCACTAGCTCGTAGGTGATACTCGAGAGAGTGGGAACGCTGAATTTGAATGGGCAAGGTTGAGCGTGGGCAGGGGGTCATTAACCTGAAATTTCAGCCTCCTAGACTCCGTGGTTCCCGAGATATTAATTTACCCGTAAAAAACTTTCACGGGCTGTACGTGTTAACCGCGCGTACGAGGAAGCTGAATTTAAGTTTGCGGGGTCACACGTGGTGGGGGACGTTCCCCTAAATTTTCAGCTTCCGCTTTTATGGTTTCCAAGTTGAAAGTTGCGGACAAGTCGCTGCGGACACAAACACACATAGACAACCCCGTGACAATATGCGTCTTGTACTGCTGTTACACAGTACAAAACGCATAAAAAGTAGAAGGGTTTTTATGGCTTTTCAGGTCACGCATATGTGATGTGTAACGTATCAGGATAGGCGCATTTTACAGCCCCCTGAGGTCATCTATACACCTCCCACCTTGGCTGCGCCCACATTCTTTTCGTATATAAGCCCAGTTTTTGGGCACAAAACTCAGTCGGACTGAGTGGCGGGGGCGAGTCGTTCGCCCACTGCCCTCAGTCCTCACTATCAAGGGGGAGAGTGTCCGGCTTATGGGGACTGAGTGGCAGGGACGAGCTTAGTCGCCCACTGCTCTCAGTCCTCAAGGGGGGAGGGGGGGAGGTGTGCGGCTTAAGGGACTGAATGAGGAGGGGGCGAATTTAGTCGCCCACTGCCCTCAGTCCACAATACCAGAGGGGAGGGGATGTACGGCTTAGGGGGACTGAGTGGTGGGAGCGAGTTTGGTCGCCCACTATTCTCAGTCCTCACTACCAAGGGGGAGGGGAAATGGGAAAATTTGATGCCTAGGAAGAGAGAGGGGAGAAGAGAAGACATTTGTACATCCACTAACCACCGCTCACCCCTCCACGCACCCCCACAACCACGGCTGCTCCTCTGCTACTCCGCCTTCCCACCAGTCAGACCATACAGCCACTGCGGCCTGGGTAACGTTGCCCTGCTTTTCTGGCAGGCTGCCAAACGATCCTGGTGAGCGACGCTACGAAATACCGTTGCCGGAGATGACAGAGGGCTTCCCAAGCACCAACGATCACCAGCCGAGCCGAGTTGTGGTAGTTGCCGAATTTAAAAGTAAAACAGACATACTTTTTATGCCGTTTTTACATCTGTGTAGTGCAAAAACATACTGTCGAGGGGTTGTGTGCGTGTGCCTGTCTGTACCGAGTTCCTGTCTCGAAATCTACAGGAGCTACAAGGCGGAAACTGTGGCAACTTAAGCGTGTGCATACGAGCTCGTATTCACAAAGTGAACTCTCACTTCTCCATAGTTCTCAACTGCGGAAGCGTGAAATTTTCTTCGGCGGGAAAGCGACTTCGGGAACAGCATAAAGGACTAGAAGGCTGAAACTTCACAGACACGTTCATTGTCCACGTCTAATTTGAGGATTTCAAATTCTACTTTCACGCGCTCGTAGATCTCACTTACATACACACCAAAGTTTGAGCTGGCACCGTGCCAACTTCTGATCTACGCTGACCAAGAAGGTGCAGAGGGTTGTAATTTTGCAGCGTTACTTGTCGCCCACAGACCTGCTCGTGAAAGTAAATTGAGCTTTCCAGCTCCTCTGCATCTCACGTACGGATATGTGAAAATTTCACAGCGGCTGTTTTGTAACTTCAAAACTGAAACAGCTAGAGGGCTGGTACTTTCTGAGTATAACCGACGGTGGCCTTTGACCAGATGGATCTAGAAACGGCTTTCACGTTCCTTTCACACATGTCGAAATTTGGCGTGACCCAGGACCGCGCCTCAACAAGCGCGCGCAAAAACAGCATTCTTGCCTCCGCTCACGTGCGTATGCGTAAAGTTTGACCTGACTCCGTAACTAGAACACCCAGAGTGTTGAATTTTTTGAGTAAGGAGTGGGCGTCACTGCAATAATTTCTGACAGTTTTGGTAGCGAATTTTAGTTCTTTTAGCTAGAACTATTTACCGGGAAAAACAGTGCCGTTAGCGACAAAAATTTGGGGAGAACTATGCAAAAAACGCATCTTCGCATCGGCATTCAGTGTGCTGCTACCGCACTACTTTGAGTTGTTTTCTCCACCTGTGAACTGTGAAAATACTTTTTTTGGTTTTGGGCACTTATTTTGAAGTCACTAATTAGCTTTTATTGGGATAAATTGGTCGAGTATCGCGCCCGGTTAAATATGAGGGAAAGAAATGCGGGAAAAAAGGAGGGTTGAAGTAGACTCCTTTGAGAAACTGGCGGCGCTTACATATTCGGTGATTTCTCTTATCTGAAAAAAAAGAGATTTTGGCCGAGGCCGATCCATTTGTCCATGTGATGCCAACCCAGCAAAGTAGGCTCCACACTTCAGGCTACAAAGGCATTAGAAGAGGGGACACCGGCACGCGTTACATAATGGCATTGAGCTGGTAATGGCTCATTTTTCATGTTATTTCAGGTAACTGCCGCTCTACGTGTTACTGATGGTGCGCTGGTGGTTGTTGACTGTGTTTCGGGTAATTTGCTTTACCGCATTTGTCTAACTGAAGTGTCGCCTCCACGTGCTTTTTCTAGTTTTAGCGACATTATTTTATACCGCCGGTGCTATCAAAAGGGCTTGAAAGCTGCTTAATTTGGTCGTTGATGGCACGGTGATTGTCCGGTTTGGGCTACTTGATTGCGTAACAGCACGCAGACTTACGGTTTAGACCTTTATGCCGAGAGGATAGCTCAAGAACTTTTAACTTGCTGTACGTGAATTGTATTGCACTGGGTAGCTCACAGTATATTTTTACATGAATTTTATTACTACTCGTTGATTTTATTAGCCCATTTGCATATCCAGATCATTTAAACGCAATTTTTTCGCGCGTTACCATGAAAAGACTTGTCCCCGAGTCTCATGAAAAATTGGAATTGGCAAAGGAATTGTCTAATATTTTGAATTAAGTACAATGAAAGGGGGAGGATTCGAAGTATCAAAGATTCACGCCTCCACTCGCAGAAAAGTTGTTTTGTAAAATGCCATTTTTTTCGAAATTGTCTTTTTTTTTTTGAAAAGCTGCTGTGTTCTTAGGAGCAAAAGTTACAGGTGGTTTTTAAACCAATACTGTGAGGAATTAGGCTAAGCGTTTTGATATTTACGTGGTGTATCATTTGTAGGCGTGTGCGTGCAGACGGAGACTGTGTTGCGTCAGGCAATTGCGGAGCGCATCAAGCCAGTGCTATTCATGAACAAGATGGATCGCGCTTTGCTCGAACTGCAGCTCGGAGCGGAGGAGCTCTTCCAGACCTTCCAGCGCATTGTGGAGAACATTAACGTGATCATAGCCACCTACGGTGACGATGATGGCCCGATGGGGCCGATTATGGTCGATCCAGCGATTGGCAATGTTGGCTTTGGCTCGGGCTTGCACGGTTGGGCTTTCACACTGAAACAGTTCGCCGAGATATACGCCGAGAAATTCGGAGTTCAGGTCAGTGCCTATTGCCTTCTTTTTTTTCGTTGTTTATGGTTTGGAGGCAGCTACACATGTTCCTTTCTCGACCCGAAATTGGTTGCTGTGGGTGATGATGCGTCACGTTGTTGTCAGTTTGTACATTCTCTGTGAAGGATTGCTTAATGGGATCATCCTACTACTTGCAGTGTAGGAGCAGCAAGTTTTTTTAAAGGTCTGTCAGACTTTTTTGCCGTCAGCTGAAGTAAGCTATAAGTTGAATATTTTGGAACTTTCGAAGCTATTTTTTCTTCTTGATATTTCATCACATACTGTAGAATGTTGTTTAAGTTTTGTATACAGTTCCTCCACCGTTTGTTGTTGTTGCTGAAATCACCAATTTTAGGAACTCTGATTTTTGAAATGGTAGTCTGTGAGCATATGCCAAGATTTTTGTGAACCGTTTCAACTTCAGTGATATTTATATGACGGAAAAATTGAATTGCGGTTTACAAAGAAAAAGTTATTTTGTAATATTGGATGATTCAGCCGATTCATGGAATTTTTGCTTTCAGGTCGACAAACTTATGCGTAATTTGTGGGGTGATCGTTTCTTCAACCTTAAAACGAAGAAGTGGTCTTCATCACAGGACGCGGACAGCAAGCGCGGATTTGTCCAGTTTGTGCTGGACCCCATCTTCAAGGTCTTCGATGCCGTCATGAACGTGAAAAAAGATGAGACGGCGAAGCTGCTTGAAAAGCTCAACATCAAACTTGCGCATGATGAAAAAGATTTGGAGGGAAAACCACTCATGAAGGTTTGTTTAACCCTCAAGGAATTACGAATTCGAAGACTGGCTTTCTGGGAGACTGGCTGTTTAAGAAGGATGAAATGGATAGGTCATGCTAGTGAGTAAATCGTATATGTCAATGTAAAAATTGAAACCAAAAGCTTTCAGGTGTTTTTTTTTTCAGTGTCTTCACGTTGGTTCTTTTTCAGGTGATGATGCGTAAATGGTTGCCAGCGGGTGATACGATGCTTCAAATGATCTGCATCCACCTGCCGTCTCCCGTAACTGCTCAAAAGTATAGGATGGAAATGTTGTATGAAGGTCCACACGATGACGAGGCCGCTGTAGCAATAAAGAATTGTGATCCGCGTGGCCCGCTGATGATGTACGTGTCAAAAATGGTGCCCACGTCGGACAAGGGACGATTCTATGCCTTCGGACGTGTTTTCTCGGGAAAAGTTCGCTTTTGTTATGGTTTTGCTTTCATTTTAGAGTGTGAAAGTTACTCACCGCACCATATGACAATTCCCTCTTTTTACTTGGAGAGGAGGAAGGGCGAAAGATCGGCTTGGAAGAACGGGACAGTTGAAAATCAGCAGGCTATGCGAAGAGAAGCTGAGAACTTGAAATTTTATTTAATTTGAGTGATAAAATGCTCAGGCTGACGAAAAACTGCTGCTGCATCGTCGCTGTGGCCCTCAGAATTGATTCAGTAAATAACTGGTTTTATTTTAACATTCGAAAGCAGCATTTTACGTTTTGCTCACTATTGATGAGTTACGAAACAGCCGTGCCTCTAGCCTGCAGTTGAGAGTGAAGTTTTGCTATGTATTTAGGTGGCGACTGGTATGAAAGCCAGGATCCAAGGACCAAATTATGTGCCAGGAAAGAAGGAGGATTTGTACGAGAAAACCATACAGCGTACCATTTTGATGATGGGCCGGTATGTGGAGCCAATTGAGGACATCCCGTCGGGCAATATTGCCGGTCTTGTTGGCGTTGATCAATATTTGGTGAAAGGTGGCACTATCACAACGTTTAAAGATGCTCATAATCTTCGCGTTATGAAATTCTCAGTGTCACCGGTCGTACGTGTTGCCGTGGAGCCGAAGAATGCAGGCGACCTTCCAAAGCTTGTGAGTTTTTTTTTTGCAAATTTTAAACTGCTCCCTCACCTACTCACAGCTTTTGACTGCAAAAATTATGCTGTTTCTTGTTGCAGGTGGAAGGACTGAAGCGTCTAGCAAAATCGGATCCTATGGTTCAGTGCATATTTGAGGAGTCTGGCGAACATATTATTGCG